AAAATATTTGTTACATATAGACATTAACATGACAAACTGCTTTGTAAGAAAGAGCCTGAAAAAAATCAAAGAAAGCATTTTCCTTTCATTATATTATTTTCTCCTTTAGAATGAAAAGTCAAATTACAGCAGAGAGTTTTTTTCCTCTTGCATTCAGTAGGTATTAGATCACAACTAAAGTGAATACATGATAATGAGTGAAATGAATTTGCAGACTTTAATCAAGAGGAAGAATAATATTGTACCTAAAGACACAGGATATAAGTGTTACAGGTTCAGTTCTCTGCTCGCTCTACTGCAAATTCCTTGCTCTGTCTTGGCTTCCCTAGCTATTAATATGACAGTATTACTTTCTCTTCCTATCCTTTACTTGTTTTGTTCAGCTGGGCAATAAACTTTCAGAGGCAGGAGGCTGCCTCTCAGTGCGTGTTTGTACAGCATCCAGCATAAAAAGCCATGATCTCAGACGGCCTCTTTGAGCCCTAACTGAAAACAAACCACTTCACAACTTTATTTTCAAAGATGTCTGACATGAAAGAAAGGATAGTGAGTAAACAGATTCATAAATGCAAGGTGCATTAGAATTTTACCTTGAGAGCATATTATACTTTCTAAATTGCATTGCCCTAATACTATTTTCTAGGCAGAGCTTAAATTAAGTTTGACGTCCAAAGATTTGAGACTCTGGGGATCTATCAACACAAGGCATTTCCTCAGCTTTCTGGAATAGACTTTTACACAGAGGATTAGTGGAAGTACTCAAGCTTTTAGTTTCTGCTTTACAAGACTGCTTGACAGCGAAGAGGTATTATGAGAATCCATAACCTTCAAATTTATTCCCAGCATAAAAAGTCTGAAATAAGCCATGTACGTAGGCCTTCAGGATCTTGTATAGCTTTCCTATTTTACCATGTCTTTTGATGAAACATGACTATTCAGAGTGCAAGAAATATTATAAAGCATCATTCAATGAGTCTGTCTGCATTATGCAGTTATAGGTTGATCCACTATGAACTTCTCTATTGATTTTGAATGTTTAAATTTTACATTGATTTTGGCTTTAAAATACACCCTTTTTTATTTCAAAAATCTGAAAACACTGCACACTTTTTTTCTTTTTTTTTTTTTTGTCTTCTTGAATGCAATAGCTGAAGTCTGTAGGACTTGTGGAATCTAATGCAAGTGAGTTGCTATAAATAAACATCGACTACATTGCAGTAACTGACTTTTGGCTCACTCTCAGTTTCCCCCAGTGGTAAAGTAGAATTCGCTAGCTTAAACCATTAATCATGACCAACAGCTCTGAGGACAGACCTTTCTTACAGCAACTACCAGTATTGCATTTGATGGCAATAGGTTGCAGACTAATACTACCCAAAAGGACAAAGTTACAACCTTGAACATTTTAGAAGTCATCAGTTAAGCACATCAACTAGTTTAAGATTTTCTTGCATCACTGGTGTTACTTTTCAGGATTGAGTCACGTTCTCTTAGTAGTGTTGCTGGACTGTGTTAAGACAGGTTTTTTAAGTCTGATTTTGAAGTTGTATTGGAGAGATCTCATCCATTCACCCAAGGAGGAAGAAGTTTCATAATGCCTTTAAATAAAGTCTCTTACTATCCAAATGATGATCAAGCAATAAGAAAGTAAGAAGTCTTACTGCACTTCAACTTTCCATGTTCCATTCTCACACAGGCTTTAGGTGTACTTTCAAACTTTACCTTTACTTGAAAGTAGTATTTTAAACGTACTGTTATATACTTTCTTAAAAGAGCAGGGCTAGCTGATTGTACATGCAGTTGCTGCAATACAGCTTTTTAAATTAATGTATTTTTGCTGCCACACATGATTTTCATTGCAGTAAGATACAGAAGAACAATTTTTAAGAGCAACAGTATTCTGGTAGTATTCTGAAATCCCAGTACCTAACTACTCTGTGTGTTACACAAACACTGAAGATGCTCTCTGCCTAGAAACTTTATCTCCTTCAAGTGTTAATGAATACAATGTTTATAAACACATGAAAGATAAATGTGAAACAGACATAAGTTTAAATATCAGAGCAAAGCTATGTAATGACAGCACACTGGATGCCAAAGATTAGTGTTTGTAACTCCTTGTTGCTTCTTGTAACGCATTGTTATAATTATTGCTTCCATGGCTGCAGCTGCCAACACAGGCTCTCTTGACAATGCCTAAGAATAGGCATCTGAGCATCACGAGTTTCATTTCTTCTCTACTGTATAAGCAGCATTTGTCAAACTATGCTTTACATAAATTTGAAACAATTGCTCTATAAAACAAAGAAGTATCAGTAGACAATTATGGTCAGAAAAATATGCACTGACAATTAGAATGAAATAGCTGTAATTGACTGGAGGAATTAGTGACAATGTCAGTAACATTTGCTCTCCATACTAGTGTATGTTTTGCAATACTGTATGTTAAAAACAACCATAGCCCCAAAAAAGGGCTACAGCATATGGACATATCCCCATCTGTTATTATCACAGTCTTTCCAAAGTGGCTCTTCTGCTTCTCCTTCAGTATGTTTCTACTTCCCAGATTCCCCTATTCAACAGACCTAAAACAGGCCTGTGTCTTCCATTTTTGTATCTCCACTCAACACATACAAAGTAACCTCCCCCTGTTATACCAAGAATGAGCTTTCTCCAGATGTCACTGAGAGGAGGTTTTTGGTTTGGTGGGGGTTTTGGGGGTTGTTTTTGGTTTTTGGGTTTTTTTTTTTGGGGGGGGGGGGGAGCCTGGGGTGAGAGGGGAAGGGAAGGTGTTAAATAACTACTTTATGCAGATATGATGCTTCTTAAAATCATTATTCTTGGGAATACATATGTTTGCCAGCAGTAATTGAGTACTACAAGAAAAACAGTAATCACAAAAATCACTCAGTTACCTACAGAAAAAAGTATTCTCCTTAAAGAAGAAAGCAGAAGGTAAACTAGGACAACTCAGGTTTAGCAAACTAGATTTAACAAACCAGCACTTTGTCAGTCCACCCTTATGGTTCTTCTTGTAGTTGCCACTCAGCCTACATTTTCAGTGTTCACCCATGACACACTCTGGAAACATAAGATTACTTAAAGTGAAGTCAGAGTCTAATGTAATACTGCATCATTCGCCGTCTCACATTGGATTTTCTTCCCAATCCACCTGCAGGGGCCAGAACAGTTTCCACAAAAGATTTTAAAACAAGAACAGAGGGAGGCATTGCGACCTCCAGAACATAAACCAGGACATGGAAATCCAGTTCCAGCTTTAACATTAAAAATTGATGGCAGAAGGTTGCTTCGGGGGAGGGGGGGAACAAAAACCCACACACACACAAATTAAAACCCTCACTCTTGAATCTCAAAGTATTTTGGTTGCCACCCAAAACCAGAGCAAAAACCTGCATGTTCCATACATTAGTTTAACATCTGTTCTTTTTAAATTACCAAGGCAGCTGTCATAATGTAAGCCCTGCAAGAAAGATGTCTCCAGGAAAGAAAAGGAAAAGGAAAGGTAAAAATCTTAACCTTTCACGACTCCGATTGATTGATTGATTTATGAGCTTTGCACTTCTGACATGCACTGCTCACTCTCAAAAGGTTGGTGAAAGTCAAATTCCAAACAAGGCAGAATAAGTGAAGCAACAGAGAAATTGCCTCTTCTGTTGTTGACCGTTTAAATGCATCAACCTATTACCTGAACCCACTTTTCTTATTTTGTTCTATGATTTCTAGAGACAGCAGGTAGCTTAAGGCTGTATGTTATCAGATTCTTTAACTGGAACAATTGTAATACTGAATTGGAGCAGGGGGCTATAATTAATCATGCACTGAATTAAACAGGGTTAACTGAAAATAGTTCTTGGTAGTCTAACAAAGATACACACACAGGTATATTTGGATTAAACAGCTCAGCCAGTCTAACGATCAGTCTGATTCCACCATTACCCATGCTGCCTTACCTCCACCCTAATCCTATCCATATAATCATCTGTACACTTTTTTCCTGTCAGTTTAGTGAACTTAACTGGCCAGTCCAAGAATCGCTCTGGTGCAATGGAAATGGCAGGCATATATTGCCTTGAGCAGGACTCTACCTTTCACTGGCAACTATATTTTAGACCAGCTTACCTCAACTCATAGAACTTTCTTCATAAGCATTCTATCCCTTTTAAACTGCACAGCTTTCAGCTTCTTGGTTCTTGTTATGTTAATTGAATCACTTACTAATTGCCATATGCTCTTCCACTGAATTTTGCAGTGGAGAAATTGGAAATAAGGAAAAAGAAATCTACCCTCTCTCTTTCCCCCTCCAGAAACATCAAAGACTGTGTACATATTTAAAAAAAAAAAAATTGTTTTATTCCTTTTTGTGCTGTATTTTGATTTTAGCACTGTTAAACTGGTAAATTTTTCAAATAAAACTCAATGAAAAAAGTGCATGCACATGATACTAATGCTGTGTAATTATGTAAATGTAGAAAGCAAGACATGCTTCTTAAGCTTCCAAAACAGTTTAGTCACTCCGAATACACCCTGCTATTCTAATACAATAACATATTTAATATATTTAAAATATTAACTTTTTTGAAGGAAAAGACTAAAAAAATTTTAAGTTTAATTTAACTAACAGCCACCACACTTTACACCAATACTATAAATATCCAATGCATTTATGCTGTTACAAAGCATTCCATTTTGGCACATCCAGATTGGAGAAACGAGGTACAAGAATTTTGGACAGCCTTTAAGAAAATAAGCCCGACTGCCGTAATAGCACAGTTTTATTCCATACAGTGGCAATATTTTTTCTAAGAGAACCCTATCGCAGTTGGCTTATCATGGCAGAAATGTTGTGAATAGCTGTGACAGACAGGAGTTTTGCAATGAGAAGGTCATAGGCTTAGTTTGGATCTTCCCTTGTCTGATTAGACAGAGAGTATTTTACCACAATTGGCTCTAGTCACTGACTGATTTTCATTCCCAAATACCTGTCATCACCGTCACTGATGCATTCAGGAAGAGCAAGACTACAGCCAAACAGCATGATGTGTTGATAGCAGCTGAGACGATTGAGATAACTGAAGAACTTCAGGAACTTTTCCATTTCAATACTTTTGACAATGGAAAGAACTGAAGTTATAGTGGTGTAGTTATATGGCAGCATTTGGCACTGGCTGTTGGTGATATTTATGCAGGCACCTGTGAAATCAAAACAATAGATTTAGAACAAAAATAATGTTGGTTCAGTTGGTTCAACGTATATATTGAATTGACTAGTCAGCATATATAATATATAAGCAATGCCTATACCTCACAGATAAGATGACATTCCAAAATGCTATTATAATACTGTCAAAAAATAAGTATCTAAGAAAAAAAGGAATCTGGAAAAGCTTGACAGCTTAGTTTGGAAAGCCAAATAAACTCTCAGATGTTTTCACCATCCTCTGACTCTCTACAAATCTGGACTAGAAATGAAACAAATTTCTTTCTGACACATGTTGGATGAACACACCTTAAGAATAGCCTGGATACAGCCAACTTTGGCTGAAACTAAGAATAGAAGTCATACAAAAAAATTAAGGCTAATTGGGTTCTGAAGCTGCTCTGGTTTTGGTGTTCCCATAAACTTTTTCTTTTTGCTACCATTCTTATTTGCAGCTGGCTTTCCTGCCAAAATCATTAAGTTGCTTACCTATTTTTCCCACGGTGATGGTTTTACTGCCAGTCTTTCTTCTCTATCCTACCACATAGAATTCTCCAATTTTACAGGTTGAACACCTACCCTGTCCCAAACTGCTGTCCCACTCCTGAGCTACCAGAGCAACCTTTCTCTGCTAATGCTTGAAGTTCTGAAGAGTGAGTTTCACAAGCCATACACCAAATTCAGAATTTTCATCAGGAATACACTATTAAAATCTAATATTTATGACAGCTCTCTACTTTGATGAAGGCCTTTCTAGGCCATCTAGTCAGGCTCTGGCAGCATTTTTTTTCACACTCAGAGGATATCCACATTGTACAATAAGCAGGGACCTCAGCCCATTCTCAAGACCAGACTCTGCCACTAATCATGCTGTAAACAAACCAAACTCATGCTAAATGACCATCCCAACTCTAGCCTTGTGAAGGGGGAAAACTCCTGAGCACATTCAAGCCTTAGCACTCCTCTTCTCATTATCTGAGCAAACTGGACATAGGTAGCAGCAAATGGGGTAGGTCCTTTCCATCATCAGACATTTTGGGGCTGGCTTCTTCCAAGAAATATGTGGGTCATTTACACCCAACGTCCCGACTTGATAAAAGCTGGGGATGTAAAACACACAGGATGCAGCAGTAAGGTTTCAGCAAGTCTGTCTCTTCCTCACCTTTCAGTCTAGACACAGTCTTCACTGCCTAAATGCACTAGTGGCAAATTCTGGTATCTATGAACTAATACAACCTCACATAAGAGTATGGAAAGCAAAGCATAATGTAGAAAAATTTCATTAGAGCTTTTTCAAGTTGCAACGTCTTTGAAGGGATGGACAAAAAAGGTGGGTTTCAAATTTTACCTCGACTTGGTAAAAAAAACAATCCCTATTTTTTCAGTGCCTGATGAGTATTCTCAAAGTTCCCCCCTTTGTCTTCTCCCTCTCCAGAAATCTCAACAAAACCTATGGAATTGAATCTTGCCCCACTGAAATAAAAGCAAGTCTGTCCCCTCATTCTAATCAAGCCAAAACTTTGCCCACAAGTCCCCACGTTAAGATTCCCCCCATCCCAGTACTGCCAACAAGAAATCTTAGCACCAGTGTACACCCATTTTCTGCTACAGTCTCTTCTCATTCCCACAGTACAGTGACTAATGGATCTGTTCATCCAGGAATCACATTTTTCCATATAATTCAGGGACACATTCTTCATTCAGAATTACAAGTAAATGCTGGGAGATCACAAAAAAAGTGGTGAGCCTCCAAATTAACAAAAAACTTTCAAAACTGCAGAGTACAGTTTTCAGAAGTGACTATATGAGTCAGTACCGCATGCCAATGATTTTCAGTGCAACTTCTGCTCTGAAATTGTACAAGTATTTTTGAAAAATACCACCAGGATGATCTCAAATCTAGGCTGAGACACCAAAATCTGGTGATACTGAAACAGCTTTCCAGGGAAAAGGGGAAAGGGAAAAAAAGGTGAAGGGAAGGGAAGGAAATTCACTTCAGAATCACAAAGTTTTCTTTTAAAAGATGCCATCTCTTTACTGCTTATTCACTTGTGACTTTTGCACAGTATCTTGACCTGCTATAAAAATGTAAAATCTCCCTCAATTTTTTGCATTGTATTTTGTACTTGAACAAACTCACTGCCATTTATTTGTACTGCAAAGATTTTTTTTTTTTTTAATAACATTTTTATTGCTTGGGAAAGCTTAACAAGAAAACACAAAAGTTCTGATTTAAAGATTAAAAATATTGAAGCTTTTCCAGCAGAAACTTTTTAAACTGCCAACCTTCCCACAGTTATCTCTTGCCTACATTCTTTTGCTGATGCTGGGACTACATTTTCAGTAACTGTTGCGATAAGAGGATAACATAGCCATGCAAAATTCTGGGTCTTCCCCACCCACAAAAATTTCACACTAAAGTTATGTAAATAAATCAAATTATCGTAAATTGGGGGGGAGGGGACACGGACGACACACATAGGGCTTACACAAGCAGAATTTCAACAAAATGATTCACAAAATCATCATGTATCTCCTGAGGCACAATTGCAAAATAGTCCCTGCCATGGCATGTGCTAAGAAGCAGTGACATTTTGGCTGAGACCATGTGCATGGGCTGCTTTAGACCTTTTAAAATTCACACAATCCTGATAGAGAAGGGCTGCAGTTCCTTGGAGATATCTGATCTTTTAGGAGTACTCAGTGGCAGGACAACACGGCACTGAATTCAACATTCATGGCCAAGAAGATGGAATTTTATGTCAATTATGCAAGAATTTTTAAATCAAAGAGGGATGGAAGGAGGGACTAAACCCAGGACTTGTCCTTGCAACAGAATTATGATCCATCTTCAGTTCTGTGAATCTTGCATTCCTGTAAAATAACATCAGTTCAATATTAATCCCAGGCACATCCGTATCCTGGAACATTCTTCTGGAAGGCAGGTGCCTGGGTTAGAACCTCATCTTTTTAACACAGGTCCTCAATCCATCTCTCCTATTTTTTTGTTCCATCATTCACCCAGCAAGTAAATTACAGTGCAATGGGTGAGTGTCCCATACCCTCCACACCCCCGAGTCAAAAAGCATAATTTCAGGGTAATAGCAATTGTTGTATCACAGTGTTGTATACATCCCGGACTCTCACTGCAGTAGTAACAAGTGCTGCAGTCTCAAAAACCTTCTCCGGTAAATTAAGGAAAGCTACCTTGTGTTTGTACGCATTTAGTTCTGCACAGGACCAATGAGCTCAGGAACAGCACCCCACTGGCTCGCTCACACCACACGGAGCTGCATCAGCCCTCTCCAAGCTAGCCCACAGACCCCTAACCCAGCAGCAGGCAGACACATCCTCTCAAGTTCCACGCAACTGCATAAGTTGGTCATACTGTGAGTAACACGTCATTTCAGAGCAAGGTTGTTTCACCTAAAATGAGACCAGAAGAAAACTCAAAGACTCTCTATTCTTATCATTTGCACAAAGCAAGTCCTTCCATTAATTCCTGCATCAAGCCCAATAGCTTGTGATAGACGGAACATATCTTTCAGACAGGCAAGTCTGTTCAGTGCCAAATCACTCTGTAGGTAGGCAAACAGTGATATAGACACTGCATTCTACAGAGCAAGGAATAATTTATTTTAAAGGACATTAAAAGTAGGAGAAAAGCTATTTAAAATACAAGCAAAAGGGACTACTTATGTAATGTGGAGTAGGTATTTAAATAAAAAGATTAAAGAGATAATGTAAAAATTTATTTTAGTAAGAATAACAGTATTCTTTTTTCCCCAAATAAACAGAAAATGTGAATAATTACACTGACAAACAGCCACAGATACAACAAAAGAATGCAGTAAACCTCAAAATGCTATTCTACCAAATTGCTAAATTCTGCTCCATATGTATGGGCTAATGTGGCCACGCAGTGCCAGAATGCTGCTCTGACTGATGGTATAACATACTAGTACTAAACATGTTACAAACCAAGCAGGAAACAGACCAGAGAAGACGACAAATGCCAAATACACGTAGAAAAGCCTCAACCTATTTACTTCTTTTCTCCAGTAAAGATTCATTAATTATGGGGAATACAAGGCACGTAAACTGTTTTTGGCAATACCTGGGGGTGGGAGAGAAGAGCAGTGAATAGGAATAACAATATGTGAAAAAGCTGTTGATTAGAACAGCATGGTGCCTAATTACATGGGTCATTTCTGACATTCATCTAAACTAAGAGTTTTCTGTTTATCAGCAGCTATTGCCAGATGGACTGAACTGGCAAAAATTGGCTTCCTTCTACTCCAACAATTGCAATGCAAGTCTACAGTTTCATGTTCAGTGCTGATGAAACTAATTTAAACAACACATTTTCCCTTTCCCTCTCTCCTCTTCAGATTGTTCCCGGATTGCACTACCTATGGACTGCATCTGCACAAAGCGAACTGGAGGACTGAAAATAACCACCTACATTCTTTCCCGAAAGGCAATGCCTACGGCAGCCCCAAAGAAATGCAACTGGAAACGCAGCTTAAGCTTGATTAATCATTTTAGTTTTAAAACACTCAACCATCCCTGTAATGATAAGGTCACAATTCCTCACCCAACAGTGGTTGTTGCTTCTGGATGTTTTTGAGGCCATGCAATGAACTAGCTCTGAACATTAGCCTGCCTGAAAAAAACAGCCTTTCCTCTCCTATCCTGCTGTACTTTTTAATTTTTTGGCGGGCACAGGGTGGAGGAGAGAAAGAAGGAAAAAAAAAAAAAAAAAACAACCCTATTTCACTTGGATCAGATCATTGGATTGAATAGGTCTTTGGCAGCAAAAAAATATGTTCTAGGACAAGAGAAGGGGCAGTGCAGTGGCAGGAACCAGTGGGTTAGATGAGAGCCTGCTCCCAGCAGCTGAAGCAGTGCTTTTGCAGAATGTGTCATCACTGCTCAGCAACATAAAGCACTTTGAAAGGGTGCTTCAAAAATATTTGAATTGCACCATCAG